GTACAGGCCCTTCGGCCCACAACGTTGTGCCGAACTTTTACCCGAAACCTAAGGTCTATCTAACCTCCACCGCTCCCTTATACTATCATCCATATGCCAATCTAATAGCTGCTTAAAATGCCCCTAATGAGGCCGACTCCACTACCCTCTCCGGCAATGCATTCCACGCCCCGACCATTCTGAGTAAAGAATCTACCTCTGATGTCTCCCCGATATCTACCTCCTTTCACTTTAAAACTATGTCCCCTCGTAAAAGCTACCTCCACCCTAGGAAAAAAATCTTTGGCTGTCCACTCTATCTATACCTCTGATCGTTTTGTGCTCCTCTATCAAGTCACCTCTCATCCTTCATTGTTCTAAAGAGAAAAGCCCTAGCTCTCTCAACCTTTCCTCGTAAGACCTTCCCTCCGTTCCAGGCAACATCCTGGTAAATCTCTTCTGCACCTTTTCCAACGCTTCCACATCTTTCCTGTAATGAGGCGACCAGAACTGGACACAATACTCCAGATGTGGCCGAACCAGGCTTTGTATAGCTGGAGCATAACTTCACGGCTCTTGAACTCAATCCCTCTATTAATGAAAGCTAACACACCATATACCTTCTTAACAATTCCATCCACCTGGGTGGCAGCTTTCAGGGAACTGTGAACATGAACCCCAAGATCCCTCTGCTCCTCCACACTGCCAAGAATCTTTCCGTTAACCCTGTATTCTGCTTTCAAAGTTTGTCCTTCCAAAATGAATCACCTCACACTTTTCAGGGTTAAAGGCCATCTGCCACTTCTCAGCCCAGCTCTGCATTCTATCAATGTCCCTTTGGAATCGAGAACAGCCCTCCATGCTGTCCACAACATGACCCACCTTTGTATCGTCAAAACCAGAACAATTCACAAGGTGTTTCACCTTGTTGTAAACATCCCGTGCCATCACCTTCCCCAGACTACAGAAGATATTCCCATGTTGTGGGTGCATTCATGAAATCAACCTAAAACATTTATAACAGGCCGTAGGATGCTGGAGCAAAAGTAGGCTCTTTGGTCCACTGAATCTGCTCCAAAATCCAATGAGGTCATAGTTGATCTGATAATCTGATAATCTGATAATCCACGACTCCACTTTCCTGCCTTTTCCCCATAATTCTTAATTCCCTGACTGATTTAAAAATCTCAGCCTTGGATACACTTAACAACTCAGTCTCTACAAGTCTCACCCTGAACCAAATTCACTCCTGAAAAGATGTGTAATAAGTACAATAATTAGCCATATAATTCAATGCCTTATACTGTAGTTTATCAATAATAAGAAGTCGCAGGAAGGGTCAATGCTCCCAACCCCCCCCACCAAAAGACATACAGAAAGCTCTGTTGTGTACAGATGTGGATCCACTCAGAATAAAACCCACTTACTTGTGATTTTAAAGTCAATATGTCTTTATACGACAAGGAAATTTTGTCTAGTATCTGAACACTGGCTTCAGCCAAAACAAAACAAAGTTTTCTTAACCAGTATATTTCAAGTAGATAGATCAACATGCAAGTGACCATCAAATTATCCATACATGGGTATTTGATCAGTGGGGGTTGGTTTAGCTCAGTTGGCAGGATGGTTCATTTGCAAAGCAGGGTGATGCTGACAGTGTGGGCTCAATTCCCATACCAGCTAAGATTACCATGAAGGACAGTCTTTCTCAATCTCTCCCCTCACCAGAGGTATGGTAGCCCTCGGGTTAAATCACCACCAGTTCTCTCTCTGTAAAGGAGAGAGAGCAGCCGTATTATCTGGTAAGACTATTGCTATTGTGACTCATACGTTTGATCAATTCCTGTTGAAACAGTTGAGTCACAGTTCGAGTCACATAATATTGAAAAAGACCCTTCGGTCCACCATGCTTATGGTCAACTAACAAACACCAAACTATACATAAGTATACCATATACTGGACCCCCTAATTTTTTTTTTTTTTTTTTAAAAAAAGCATCTCCTTACACATGCCATTCTCCTAAAGGGGCTCCCCTGCTTTTAACGGTCTGTATCTAACAAATTCTTCCTCCTTTTTCTTTATGAAATTCTTTATATCCCTTGACATTCAAAGTTCCCTGGACTTGCTGCCCTTGCCCTTCACTTTTAGAGCAACAAATTGGCCCTGCGCTCTCTTTATACTACTTTTAAGAAAGACTCCCTTTCCAAATGTAGACTCATCTGCAAGTAGCTGCTCCCAGTCTATGTTTGCCTGATCCCATCTAATGATATTGAAACTGACTTGCCCCCAATTTAGATACTTAACTTCTTCACTATTCTTATCTTTTTTCATAAAGACTTTGAAACTTAAGAGTTATGGTCACTATCCCCAAAGCGTTCATCCATTGACACCTCAACCACTTGACTGACTTCATTACCTAGGATTAGGTCTAGCACTACCCCAGTTCTGGAAGAGCTATCCACATACTGGGACAAAAAGCTCTCCTGGATGCACTTTAAATATACCAACTGGGTGATTCCAGTTAAAGTTAGCAAAGTTAAAAAAGTCCCCTACTATTATAACCGGATTCCTGTCACACCTCTGCAATTTCTCCAAATATCAGCTCCTGTTTCCCACTTACTGTTGGGAGTACAATTCCAGCAAAAGTGATCGCCCCTTTTTTTTTATTTCTAAGCCCTAATCAGATGGCCCCATTTGAAGAGCTTGGAGACATCCTCCCTCATTACTGCAATGATGGATCCTTTATCAATAAGCAACAACCCCACCTCATCCCTCCCATCACACCTGAAACTTCTTTACCCTAGATAGTTGAGCTGCCAGTACTGCCGCCCCTTCAACTATTTCTCAGTGATTGCAACATCACATTCCCACATGCTGATCAATGCTCGGTCATTAAATTACAACACTGCTCTTCATAATTACTCAGAGCAGCTAAACTAACACTTTTTGGGTGAACATTATTTGGATCCAGAGCTGATTTCCGAGAAGAGATTAGAATGAAATGGGGCAAAATGTCTCAGACAGGCTTTTCCTCAGCACTCGCATCTCATATGAAGCTTGGAGTCCCCAATTTCCAAGGCACTTTATAAATTATTGTAAAATTTCTTAGTATCGAAAGTATAGATTCTCTAGTCTGCTCTGAAAATATTAGAAATTTGCATGGCAGGAAACAGAACTCTCCACTTGCATCACAACCTAGCGTTATTTTCATTGGCAGACTGGGATCTGCAACCAGAAGTGTAGCACACTTTGTACTTTCCTACTGTCCAGTTCAGAGCAGTAATTTTATCCAACATCAATTTAAAAAAAAAAGAGTTAAAACCAAAAAGGGTGTTTGGTACAGGATTGATAAAATTGGATCATTTATCATTTGCTTCAGGGCTGATAGCAGGAAGTGTTAATATTTGCATGAAGCAATGTTTGCAACAGTCTGCCAGTTAAGGTGGCACAGACAAGAACACAGGAATAAGTTCAAATTCAAGTGTATGAGGTAATGCTGTGATATCAAAAAGTGTAGGTTCCTGTAAAATATATTAAATATGGTTGTATCCCTCAACTATTTACAACCTTTGGAATCTTCATGAGACCATGAATGACAACTAGTGTACATTTCAAAGTCACCTTCTATGCATATACACAATGTAAATTGATAAAAATTCTCCATTACAGCAGTTAACTGTGAGCAGTGAGTATTAAAAGGGATTGCAAAGGGATTCTGTTAAAAAAACCGTGTGCATAAAAATAGCACAGGTCTTCACCACAATTCACGTAGCCTTAAGATAAAAGGCTTTTATTGAAGACACAGCCGAATTATTAAACTGGTTTAGTTTTGCAATTTAAAGTATGCAATAGTTCTATGAATTAGAATAGATCTTTGAATTAGGTTCTATAGCATGTTTTATAATCTTGTATTTATTTTGGTCTTTATTGATATACATCAATGAATTTGGATATTTGGATTGATAATTACTCATTATGGAATACACTGCCTTTTCTTAGGCAGACAGAAATGGGTTCATTAGTGCCTGCTATCTTGGTAAAGATCAGATGGAGATAAGCTAAGAAGAACAAGCTTCTACAAAAGTGAAGATCTTGGAGTGATTGGTATGTCAAAGAATGACTTTGGAGACACTAGAAAGCAATAGCAGTTAAAATTATCATTTTTAAAAGGGACCAATCAGAAATTGGCCAAATCTTGTTTAATCCAACACTGACTGCAAAGTGCTCATGCAATATAAGCCAATTCAAGTTCAGGATAGTTCCGATGGTGGTGGGGAGCGAGGCTTAACAAGCATTGGTTCTTAGTGCTTTGATATAGATGACCAAAGATAGAAGGAGAATTTGAGTCAACGTGACAGGAGACCTGTTTCCCATTCAACCAGCATCATAACCTTGAGTCCTGACCTGGATGGACTACAAAATACTGCATTTTTTCTTTGGAGTATTATTAACTTATTCATAAAAAGTATAAAGTAAATAAGGTTAACATTGTTAATTCTGGAAACTTGTGAAAACACATCTGCACCTGGAATGGGTCTTGCACCTAATTAAATAAATTAGCTCCTTAAACTAAGTCTATAATGGTGATTTGACTAGGTTTTACACTTAAAGTTATGCAGACCCCAGAATATTGTACAGGGTACTAAAGAAAATGCTGAATTAAAAGTAAATTTCTTGGTACTCAGGAAAATCTATCAACTGGCATCAGATCTTTCATGGAGCTAAAGAATGTCAACTTGTGATTCCCCACACAGAATGTGCTTTTCATCTTGGTAAAGCAAGCACATTGAAAGAGAAGGAAACAGTAAACCCTGGCAATGAATAGTTACACAATATCTAAATCTCTATTGTTTCTCCCACTTTTGGGTTCAGAGTTAGCATCTAGCACAAAGATAGGTAGAAAACAAAATAAACTGTATTTTGCTATTGAAAGCAGTGAATTCAGCCACACCAATGAAAACTACAAAGAATCAACTGCTGGCACACCAACCCTCAGACCATCAGACGAAAAGTAGCATACCTTGATGTCATATTGAATACCATGAGATCTTTCCTTAAGTGTGAACCTTTGAATTTATAAATGAAAAGTAGTTTAAAAATGTAACAAAAGCAGGAAGACTGTTAATTCCATAGATATGTAAACAGATGTAAAATTGTAGATTACAAAACTAATGGCCATCCAGTTACAGTTTACATAGAATATTACATAGAGCTGTGCAAGTTAAATTCCTAAAGTGTCCGTAAGAATCTCAATACAATAAAAACATGTTTGGAGCCAGGGGAGCTGACTCAAATTGTATCCAATGCAGGGCATAAACAGCCTGTTTTTTAAAAATTCATTTGGGGGGTGTGGTATCGCTGACTGGCCAGCATTTATTATCCATCCATAGGTGCCAATGTATAAAACAGCAAAGAATCAAAAGAATCCCTACAGGCCGTCGGCCCATCATATCTGCACCAATCCCCCAAACAGCATCCCATCCCAGTAACCTGTAGCATTTATCATGGCTAATCCACATAACCTGCACTTTCCCCAAGCACAATGGGACAACCTAGCATAGCCAATCCACCTAACCTCAACATATTTTGTACTGTGGGAGGAAACCAGAGTAGCTGGTGGAAACCTATGCAGAAATGGGGAGAATGTGCAAACTCCATATAGGCAATCACCCAAGGCTGGCATCAAAACCTGGTTTCCTGGCACTGTAAGGCAACATTACTAACCACTGTGCCACCATGCCACAAAAGGCTCTAAGTCATCATGCAAAATGAAACAGGAGGAGATCTAGCAGCATATTTTGAACCAAATGAAATTTAAAATAGCAGCTAAAAAAAGTGGAAATATAGGTGAATATAGTGTAATTTCAAGGCCAGAATTTTCCAGCAAAACAGGAGAGTTTCATGTACAGTTAGTAGATAAATCATCCAGTAATTTGATGGACAATTTGTGCCACTCTGCCATTAGTGGCATAAAAATGCAACTCCCTGCAGAATTAAATTTATTACTGAAGATAATTAATGGTAATCAGTGCAAGGCCTTTCAAATGATGATGTTGTTACAGGCTACTTTTCTTCCACTCAGAAAGGAAAAAACATATAAAACTGCAATGTCTCATTAATGAATATAGTAAAAATGCTAGAGATTTTTTTTTTAAAGTGTTTGGTTGCTATTTTCTCCTCATTTCTCTTAATCCAAATGTTTCTTTCCCTCCAAGTTTCCATTCCTGATTTGACTACAATTCACAATCATCATTTTCAATCATCCTTAGTTTCTCTTTGTTACATACCAAGGTCCCTGATGTCTTTGTATTTACACTTGTTGTGGAATACAACTAGCATTACCAATTCTAGGATAAAAGAATTAGAAAGCAAATAAATGTTCCACCTTAAACAATGTAATAATAATGCTTTCAAATCAGAACCATGCCCCTTTAGGGTTAGTAAATCATTTGGGAACATGTGAAACCAAGTCTCAAAACCTTGACATTTTTAATAAGGGAATATGGTAAAAGGAGATAGTTAGTGGGGAAAAAAATTCAGAAAAATGTATTTCAGATTCAAAGGAAGTTTAGGAAAGAGGGGCTCAGATTCTAATTCTACACTTCATTCTTTGTAATACCTTCAGTCTGTGTAGTACAGCAAAAGAAAAAAGGGCAGGAAGTATACGCCCAAAGTAATTTTCCACTTCAGTGATGTTCAGTCTGCAAATTTCTCTTCTGTTTAGTTTACATGCATAGCTCCATCTCAAATCAAATTTCTAAAGTTTCCACATTAATTTTTTTTAAAAATATTGCTCTACATAGAATTAGAGAAAATCACAAACTAATTTCATGCATTGCACTTCTGTTCTTGCATAGCAGAACGTTTATGTAAATATTTAAACTAAGCTGAACACATTACTTACCTCTACAGGAAAAAAAGATAAGAAATATCTATTTGCTCATACTACTAGTTAACCACAGTCAGCCAACTCAGCAATCATGAAACATTTATAGCTGCATTAGACAGACTAAAAATGGGTCATTAACTATAGTTTAGCAAACAATGGTTGTGGTGATATTTACTGTTAAACTGTCAGATACATTACTTACTGAGTAATAATGAGTGTGGGGGGAGGGGTGCAGTGGTGCAAAGAGTGCTTTTGAACCGAAAATGCTGTTTATATCAGTTTCACAAGAAGCATCATGGTGGGCTTTGGGCTGTTCTGCAGAGGAGAACTTGGACTACAATTTCCAGATAAGTTTCAACTTGTGTAGACTACTGAGGAACAGAATAAATAAAATGTGAAAAACTTATTTTGGTAGCAGTGGGAGAGGTAGGGTAGTGGGCAGACAACGCAGAGATTTGGAACATCACTCCCAAGTAGTTGCCTCTTTGGATTAAGGCTGGCATGCCAAAATGGTACATTAAGGAAACTCAAAAGGCGAAGTCAGAAATCGGTGCTGGTGGAAGCAGCTAGAATTCAGTTTTACAGAATGAAATCTTATGGCAGCCAGAGTGTAGGAGCATAGAGCAAGACCTCTGTAGTTGATAGTGCAGATAGGAAAGTATAATTGAGCTCACAGCATTGACTGTGTGTTTATTAGTGGTACTGATGAGACATAGCAAATGAGTTTTAATTAAAATGCATTATAATTACTAGCAAAACCAGCATAGTTATCAAATCTTAATCAACAGTCTTCTTGCAGAAATGGTGTGTGCTCGAGATCTCAGTTGAGGATCAAGCAGAGTTTGGTTGAGGTATCCTCAAACAAAAAGTCTTTAAATGTATGGGTACATATAAAAAGACAGAATAAATTATGCAATATAAAGGCCATCATGCCATGTGAACATTAATTTACTCAATATTCCCACTCCTTTGTTGGTAAGTTGCTCTGGATGGGTTACAAAATTACTCCAAATTAGGTAGTGAAATACTAATAAGGCACAAAATGGTTCAAATTTTAATGCCTTCACTGGGGGTTGCCAGCATTACTCTACTCTATTTAAAAAGACTTGTACTAGCACAAATGTGATTGGCAAAATAACCTTATGTAATTTCTATAATTATGTGAATAAGACAGTAACATTTCTAGTTTCTGTTTGTTCAATGTTAACATCCATGGTGAACTAATGATTGAATGCTATTTTCAACCAAGGTTATATCACATTCCTGTAGAAGGTCAAACTATAGTTGACTATTTTTAGTTCAAATGTTGCTTGAGCCAAATTAGGTATTGCTCTAACACACGAGGCACAAAATATAATTCCTACCTTTAATTTTTCCAACTTCACTACCAAGCTGTTATATTGCTTTGTGCAAATATAGATTAAAACAAACATTCATAATTACCACGTTTCTAAACTTGCTTTTCCACTAACAGGAGAAAAGTTTGTCACTGTACCCTAAGCGCGTTCCTGCCCAGAGACAGAGTCCATCTCCCCTCAAAGTTCAACCCAACACAGTAACCCAAAATCCACAGCGCTCGCATGAACAGTTCCTGAGAAAACACTAACCTTGTTTTAAGCTCCTCACCTGGAACTTGCACAAAGATTGGCTAAACAGAGCTTTTTGCTAATGGAGTGAGGAGCAGCTGGTGCCCAAACTTGGAACTTATTAACAGGTTATATTTAAGTGCTTTGTCACACACCAGTCTCAGAAATCTGCTGTTCCTTAGAATTTTATGATTAGTACCCAATTGCCAAATACATTGCATTCAAAATTTGCAAATGTTTATTTTACTTTTGAAAGGAAACAACCACCAGAAATTCAAAAAAAAAATTCAGTATTCAAGAAATTGAGCAAAAGATTGGCAGGATGCAGTGGTGCAGCTTTGCACACCTCTTCACTCATCAGCTCTTTGATGTTGAAAGAAGGTCCTATACGAAATTCGATTTCAAAGTGACCATCTCAACTTGGTCATTCCAGATGATTGGTTCAAGGTGCCAAAGTACCATAAACACATTGTGACAGCTCTTGGGTGACAATTTTTATTGAATTAAATTTGTCAAAAAAGTGCATTTTGATGGAATAATGTGGGCATAGCAAGAATAAGTATACATATCTTGCTATAAATGCATAGATACTGTGTCACACCTGCTGGCACCAACGGTTAGAACACTTCAGTAACAATGATTTGACATGGTTTCAGAACAGTGTATATTTAAGCTATAATGTAACAAATGTTTAATTTGATCATCTCAATGAACTTTACTGGAGGACCAAAAACAGTATAGGTGTTCTCATGACAACAATGCTTCAAACTGTACTTCACTGGGCACTCAGAAGAGCTGGCCTCACTGACTGCGTTTCTACCTCTTATGGGAGAATGCGCCAATAAGATTTCTGTTTGTCGGCCTGGATTTCCTTGACATTAGAATTAAGGTACATGTAATTATGCACTCATTAAATGAACCAATTCTTGTTTTCCAATCTTTTAGGGAAGTGATGGTAAACAATTGTAATATTTAGAGTGTGCTTCCAACTTTTGATCTAGCAATACAGCAAGGGAAAATGTAATTTCTTCCAAAACGTCTCTGGAATCACTAATGGCTTTCAAAAATGTTCAAGAAAGGAATTTTAAGACTTTGCACCAATTATAAAGGAATCAAGGGACCCTCTTGTGACACAGTGGTAGCATTCCTACCCCTAGAGGAGGAGACCTGGATTCAAGTCTCACCTGCTCTAGAGGTGTGTACAATATCAACCTGTTCAGATGCTGTTATTTAGAAAAAAAAAATTGGTTAAACAAAGGAATCAATTATAAATCTTCTTAAAGAAGAAATATCGATCCATGTAATCTGGTGATTCTGGACACTTTCAGTACCAGCAAGAAGGAAGTTAAGACTGAAGCTGCGTGGCCAGACTCAAATGAGAGCTGCAGATAATGATGAACTGCAGCATAGGGAAGAACAAGGAATAGTCATTTACAAGAAGCTATATCTGTGTAATACAATTAACTAGGACAAAGATAAAGATAAAGCAGATTGTTAAGTGGAAAACTTTACTCCTGCTGTTTCAGGTTTGCAGGAGCTCAGCAAACCATTTAAATGAGGTTTATTGATAAAAGGAATTTCTGACAAATGAATAATTAAAATTGCTGCAGAGTTGAAAATGTTGGAAATGTATGCAGTGTCCAAAATTCTGTATAAGCTGCCCAACTACCGCAAGTTCCCGTGCATGCTAAACAGCATGATGCACAGACTTCCAGTTTCAGAAGTCAATGCTGAGCTTGGACCTCAAGAGGCAAGCACACTGGGAGAAGAGATAACAAGGTGTAGAGCTTTACACCTTGTTATCTCAGATTCTCCAGCATCTGCAGTTCCTGCTATCTCTCACGCTGGTTTTGGTGGTGCCAAGTCAGCAAGGACTGATGCAGATTTGGTCAAGACAAATACATACAATCAGGAATTAGGAGACTTAGACCATTTCGGCCCTTTGAGCCTGCTTAGCCATTTGGTAAGATAGTATCTTATGTCTGTTTTGAACTCCATATCCCCACCTACACTCACTAATCTTTGACCTCTTTGCCGACAAGAATCTACCTTTCCTCTCAAAAACATTCAATGATCCCACCTCCAAGGCTTTGAGGCAGAATATTCAAAGTTTGCACAATCCTCAGAAAATACCTCCCTTCATTTCAGTAATAAACCGGCAATCCCCAATTTAAAACAGTGCCTCCTAGTTCTGGACTCATCCATATAAAAGTAGGATCTTTCCATATCCGCCTTGTCAAGTTCATGCACGATCTTATACTTCAATGAAATCACTCCTCAGTCTTTTAAATTCCAGTGGAAACAAGCCCAGCTTGTCCAAGCTTTCCTTACAAGACAACCTATTCATTCCAGGTATCAATTAGCAAGGCTCCTCCATAAATTAGGAGGCCAAAACTGCATACATTCTAGAGATGTCATCTCAATAATGCCACGTATAACCGAAGTATAACAACCTTACCTTCATGTTCAATTAACCTTGTAAAAGAGTAGTACCCCATCAACCTTTTTAGTTACTTGCTGCATCTGAATTTTTTTTTTTGACTCATGTCCAAGAACACAGACTCTTTCGTACCTCAGAATTCTGCAGTTGATATTCAAGTAATACTCGGCTGTCTCATTCTTCCTGCCAAAGTGAACGCCACATATCCCACATGTACCAGATTACTAACCATAACTCAACATATCTATATACACTTGACAATATACTTTCCTATTTTAATGTCAGCTACAAATTTAGCTACCATGCCTTTACTTCCCTCAAAGACATTGATGTAAAATTATGAAAAGCTGAGGTCCCATCATCTACCTCTGTGGGAATCCATTTGTTACATTCTGCCAATCAGAAAAAGCCCTATTTAGGCATACACTATTGTTTTCTGCCAGCCAATCCTTTGTCCATGCTAATATGTAACCTCATGCATCACAAGCTCCTACTTTGTACAATAACCTTTTGTGGCAACTTTGTCAAATGCCTTCAGGAAATCAAAGCAGGGTATTGCACAAGCTCCCTTTTACTCACAAAGCTCCAATAAATTGGTTAAACATACTGTTTATCTTGAGTTTTTTGAAACGTGCAGCTATAACCACCTTAAAATGATCAATTCTAACATCTTTCCCATAATCGACATCAAGCTAACTGGCATGCATTTTTCCATTTTCTGTCTCCTTCTCTTCTGATTTGGAGTTATATTTACTGCTTTCTGGTCCGATGGAAACTTCACAATCTATTTTTGTTGTTTTTAACTTTTAAAAGTAAGTTTACCTTTTTAAATATGAAGTATCATTTGCCTAGTACTTCCTGTTTCAATTCATCTGGATCTGTTTCACATTATAAGATGAAATGCAAACAAGACTTTACATACTTGGGCCGGGTTTGGTAGATTTGGCCATTTTGGTTTATGGTTTCTCCACAGGGGTTGCATTAAGGGAGAATCACAGAAATATAATTTAATGCCTTCATTCTAGTATAATTTCAACTTGGCTTTGGGTTGAGATCAAACAAAGGGAGTTCTTGAACCCAATGGTCTTCTCCTGTTGATAACTATAAATAAAGCAACTAGCTACAATTGGAGTTTTATGGAAACCTTCTAAATAAGAGTAGTTTTTATAACTTGTTTCTGATCTGCTAAATTGCACTCACATCGCTTGAAACAAAGTATCACTAAATCAGCTCAATGCAGTTTGAAGGGATGGGTTCTACTCACAGACATGCAATACAAATAAAACAAAATCATTTGCCAGTACGAAACTTTGTTTTGCACTTATCAGGGCAAATGGGAAAATGCCAAGCTTGGACAATAACAATAAAAAAAAAGTTATAGTATAAGAGAAAAAGGGTCTAGTTGGCCGAGGCGATGCCAAGGAAATACTGGCTCCCCTAGCTCCAAGGCAATTCAAAAATCAAAGTGTCTATTAGATGTGAATCTATAATTGATAGATGATCCCAAGTATGCCAACAGTTACACTAACAACTAATAAGATGATCAATATTTCACGGTGACTCATTTACACTTGCTAGAAGCAACGTACATTGTCTGAGAGACCTATTCTCCATAAACAAAAAGGAACATGTTCAAAGCTGGTGTCTTTTTTAAAAACCTATTGAATCAATATCAACTTGATGTTAAATTTATATCGTGGCTATTTTTCAATCAAAAATCTTAAGAATAATCGTAGGACTGGTTCATTATCTCAGCAGTGACCCCATGTGTTTTCATACACTGAAAAGCCTTCCAACGTTAATAAAAATCAGTACAGGTTTAAAAGATCAAGAATTACAAATATTTTAGCCTTAAAGTTTCTGTAGGACGTATGCCACAGAAACTAGTTAGGTTTCAACAAAGTTCAAATAGTGTGCAATAACCTGAAGGTATGGCTGTAAAGCCTGTGCCCAATGGAAACATGCCAACTGCATTAACAAGACTCCATCCATAACAACTTCAGCTGGGAAGAATGCATGCAAACAAAATTTAAAAAACTGACAGGCTTTACATGCATTTGGAAAGGCAAAGACTGATCAAAGGAGAGTCAACATGACTTTGTGCGTGGGAAATAGAATCTCGCTAACTTGATTCAGTTTTGTGATGAAGTGACAAAAGAAAATTGATGAAACAGAGCAAGTAGACATTGCCTAAATGAACTTTAGCAAGGCATTCAACAAGGTTCCGCATGGTAGACTGGTGAGTGAGTTATAGATAACATGAAATCTGGGGGAGTTAGCCAATTGGATTCAAAAGTGGCTTGAAGGTAAGAGACAGAGCATAGTGAAGGGTTTTGTTTGGACTGAAGGCCTGTGACCAGTTGTTTGCTGCACATTTTGATGTTGGATCCACTGCTTTTTGTTGTTAATATAAATGATTTGGATAGGATTATTGGAGGTACGGGTAGCAAGGTTGCAGATGACACCAAAATTGGAGGGAGGTGTAGTGGACAGTGAAGAAGGTTACCTCAGAGTACAATGGGATCTTGATCAGATGGGCCAATAGACTGAGTCATCACAGATGGAGTTTAATTTAGATAAATGTGAGAAGTTCCGTTTTGGCAAGGTAAATCAGGACAGGACTTATTACAGTTAATCGTAGGGCCACAGGGAGTGTTCAGAACTAAGAGGCCTAGGGTGCAGGTGCATAGCTCCTTGAAAGTAGAGTCACAGGTAAATGGGATGAAGGCAGCAGCGTTTGGCGCACTTGCTTTAATTGGTGAGTGCAACGAGCATAGGAGTTGTGTTGTCATTTTGCAACTGTACAGGACACTGTTGAGGCCACTTTTAAAATACTGCATACAATTCTGCCTTCCCTGCTATAGAAAAGATGTTGTTAAACTTGAAAGGGTGCAGGAAAGATTTAGAAGGGTGTTGCCAGGGTTGAAGGGTTTGAGCTATAAGGAAAAGCTGAATAGGCTTTGGTTTTGGTTTTGCCCCTGAAGCTTCAGAGGCTGAGGGGTGACCTTATAGAGGTTTATAAGGTCATGAGGGACATAGATAGGGTTAACAGCCAAAGTCTTTTTCCCAGGGTAGGGGAGTCCAAAAGTAGAGGGCATAGGTATAAGGTGAGCGGTGACGATAAAAAAAAAAAGGACCCGAGGGGCAATTTTTCATGCAGAGAGAATGGTGCAAGCTGCCAGAGGAAGTGGAAGAGAACGGTACAATTACAACATTTAAAAGGCATCTGGATGATTACATGAATAGGGAGGGTTTATAGGATATAGGCCAAAGGGGACTAGATTAGTTTAGGATATCTGGGCAGCATGAATGAGTTGGACAGAAGGGTCTGTTTCCATGCTATGTAACTATGACTCTACCCAATCAATTGTTCAAAAATCACTTTTTAAAATCATCAGAACCCCCTGTAATAAATTGTATTTTAAAAATACATTACATATACATAACTAGAAATGAATCAAAGACAATATACTGCACATCTGGTGGATTGAAGCTTAACTCAAATATTTTCCTGGAACTTGCATTTCATATCAAATTCAAGCACAAATCACCAACTATTAGTTTCAGATTATATTCGGAATCAAAATTATTTTAAAATTGATAACTGTAATTGAAAACTTAGAAAGATGTGACATGTATGCGTATTGTAATATTTAGTGATTACAATACTCTTTTCATTGAAGAGTTTACATTTGAACTTTTACCTTGTGTAGTTTCTAGAAATATACTGTTTTTAACAGGTGTCATACCTCAGGAGGCAGAAGTATGAATCTTGTTTTGAGATATTATCATTTTGACATCTATTGTCTTTTCCACAGAAATGCACAAGATGCAAAAGACCTGGGGAAGAAAAAAAAATAAACAATTGAAAACTGCTGCAATTTAGAACAAATCATTGATGAAAGTCACTGAATAAACAAATTATCTATGTCCCTCATGACCTTATAAACCTCTATAAGGTCACCCCTCAGTCTCTGAAGCTTCAGGGGCAAAACCAAAGCCTATTCAGCCTTTCCTTATAATGCATTTTAAAATTTGGAAAAAAAGCCAAAAAAAGGTTGGTTAAGCATTTTTCCAGAACTAGACAGAAACGATGAAAGATTATTGACCTGAAGTGTTAACTGTTTCTCTCCATAGATATTGTGAACCTGCTGAATATTCTTAGCATTTATGTTTTTATTCCAGATTTCCATTATCTGTTGTTTTCATTTTTGGCATCGAAAATATCTAGTGAGAGTTACAAGATGACAATTCAGCATAGGTACAATTTTATGCCTCAGCAAGAATAATTCTGGACTATTCATGCAGCTTCAGTCACCCAACCTCAAAAGAAAAAGTTGATGCTTTACAAAGTGCTACTACGATGATTGCTGATCCAAAGGTAGTAAGCTCACTAACAATTGACATTGAATACCAAGCACAAGATTAAAAGAATACAAGTACAATAGTTCCAAGTAAAAACTCATTTACCACTACATCCCATTCCATTCCTCCCACCCCACACACACACACACAAACTAGCATTACTCGACTGCAACGGTACAAAATATATAGAGGGAACAGGAAATATGGAAAATTTATTCAGTCAATTACATTAGCTCCACACAGCATTGTTTCACAGATGGTCTCTTTTGCCCCCTCTCAATAACCAACTTGATTTTTATCCTGTCATCAAAACTCATTTTGTACTGTCAATGCCTCTAAATTCTAGCATTGCTTAAATTAGATACATGCGGTGAAGGTAATTGTAATGCAAGTTTTTTGAATAATAAATGTCTGCTGAATTGACTTTTTCCCCCCACTTTCATTTGGCTTTTTTTCCCCATTAACAGAACCATGCCATTCAGGCCAAACAGTCATGTTCCATTTGAGCCTCCTCCAATCTTTCCTCAATTTCTCCCATGCATATTTGTCTAACCTTCCCTTAAATAAAGATCTGTAATATTTACCTCAATCATTTCCTGTAGTTAAAATACTCAGGTTTGTATGTGGAAGAGTCATGATGAGGTACATAGATGATTTTCCATATTCTTTCTTACCTTTGTTTTGCTTGGAAACATGTCTTAAAAAGTTGCTTTAAAATAAAAAGAGGGGACTCTATACTAATTGTCTAAAGGTTAAGGTTGCAAAGGTGAAGGGCATCTTGTTCTGTGACAGTGGTAGTATCCCTACCTCCGAGTCAGGAGGCCTAGTTGAAGTCTCCGATTTTCCTGAGATAGGTAATTACACTTCTGAACAGGTTGATTAGAAAATATCTATAAAGACAGTGTTCTTGCAGCACAGTGGTATTATCCCTACCTCTGAAAACAGGATCTTGGTTCAATTCCCACCAGCTCCAAAGGAAAAGGTCGACTGATATATTTACACAAATCCATTTAAGAAAGTATAACAAACTTTATGGTAACGTGGAGTTTGTTAGGGAGGAGACAGACATGTTACACTTTGCAAATTAATCTTTTTACTTAGATTTATGTCTCATTTCCTGCCTCACCGCGTGGCTTCAGCAGGAACAACAAATGAACCATATTACCTTTTGTCATCATCTACACAGATGGAGTCTTACTGACGACAACAACAACATTCATCACCCCCAATACAAACTATTATTACTAAATATGCAGTTCCTCATTTTTCCACACAAATGTTATACAAGTGTTTCCCAGTTCTGATGTTTCTGTAGCCATAACTCTCAGAAAGTATATCTGGTTCTTCGTGAATATTGCTGACAGTTTCCCTACTTTATTACTAACACTGTGTGCACTGCTGCGCAGACAGCTTACATCATCGTTAACAGCAACTCCTTTCACTTTTTAATTTAAAAAATCTTTTATAACTGTGCTCTATTCATTGCCTTCATAAGCTAGCACTGAACTAAACAGTCCTTTTCCATTTAATTTACTCCTCCCACCCATACTTCATTAGTTTAAAGAGACTTTGACAACTATTCATTTAATAGGTCACTGGTTCCATTTTGAAAAACTCTCAGTTATTAGAATTCATCCTCCTATTACCCAACATAACTGCTTCCAGTATCCACCTGATCCGAGATACTACCAGCATTCATTCCCACTTAGTATTCTTGATCTCTTTGTGCAAAACAAGGAAAGAATGTTGTCAAATTTCTCTTGCTAACCTCTAATAATGCCATCTCGATCTACTGCCATCGCTAGTGTTAACCAAGCAGCCTCACCGCATGGCATGGCAAACAGCACCAGCAGGAGGCCTTTAATTCTATCTTGAAGGCCTCAACTATTCCACAGCTGGCAAGTCACAGGCACCTCCCCTGCTGCAAGCAACAGAGGTGGGTAGGCAATGATATGGCACAGCAATCATGTCAACAAATCCTCCATGTCACCCAAGCTACCTATCTGCCCCAGAGAAAGGGAAGGAGTAATGTTGTGAAGTGAGGTGTCAAATTCCAGCCTTGAGCATATCCAAGGCCAGGTACCTGACAACATTGATGCAATTACAATCAAGAGTTGGATAGCATTAGTTTACATTGTAGAACCTGACATTTCCTCAGATGTTGCCAAGGAGCAGTAGTTTGATCAGATCATATTAGAGGATAATATATTACAATCTAGGAAACAGATACAGCAATTATGTTTTTGCCCAATTTCCAGCCCAAGACATTTTATTTCTAAAAGGTATACTGTACCTCTTAAATTTTAATTCAATACAGTGCTTTAAAAGATCATGTACCAGAACTGTTAAGGAAATAATTGCAAGTTGCACATTTTTTCAATATGTTAGTGAGTTTATTAGGTTTAAGACATAAATTTAGATTCTCCCGAGATCGTTAATACTAAATGGCACTGTATTCATTTTAACCCTCCTACCAGCACTTTTTTTGGCAGCTTGTAATTGTATTATACAGCACTAGATGAAGAAAATCCTCAGAGCTAAGCTATTCGTCACATATGTCTTCCTGATTTCCATATATGTCTTTAAGAACATTGTATATCTGGTTCTCCAAACATAAAACCTTAGTCATTTTATTTTGCCTGATGGGAAATTAAAACTGCCTGAATAAATTTAGCACCTGTCAGAGTAAATAGTGTTCCAATGGTAGCTCCATTGTCTTTGGCCTTCCAAATTTTCTCACACCAACAAATATTCTAAAGCAAATTGAATAGATGCCATTATGGTTGGTAAGAATGCCACAAGCATTGCAACTCACTTATCCCAATAAAAGGTGAATGACCATAAAAAAACATCAAGGATGCCAACTGAAATAATTATCAGATTTTTCTGCTCCATGAATCATCAGGTTGGACTTGTTGTGGTTATTGCACCTGACATTTAAATGTCACTTCAACATATCCCTGCTGAGTCAGTAGTCTCAAAATGAACAGGAATATTTGGAGTAGGTACATGCTTATCAAATTGATACTTTCGTTCAAATGTTACTCCCAAGTCATTTAACTAAAACCACAAATATGCTTTCTTCTCCAAAAAGGATAAATCTTTACACTTTGTAAATAAAAATTGAGAAAACAAAACAAGTATGACTCCTTCCAGAACCTACAGGTCTGCATTTCATGGGATCACAGTTGTGGACATAATTGTTTTTTTAAAAACAGAAATTAGTGTGTTGCTAATAGCAAAAAGTATTATGGAGCACACCAAGTAATGTTTAGAGAAAGAACATTTGGAGAATCACATTAAATCAATTTCTCACTTTCACAGCATCTTTTGAAATATTCACAATAACAAGCACTGCTCATTAGTTATACACGAGTCTTTGTCTTTCCAAAATGCCAATTTATCCCTAACTGTCCAGTCTAGGAACTAGAAACCTACTGTATATAAAACCCAAATATATTTGAATAGATTGCATGCAAAACACTATCTTGATGTTTATTGCATAATATACTAATTGTTCTTTTTAAACAGAGGTAAGGTAACACTTCTTCCTGCAGAGTTTGCAATTTTAACAGCAGGCCACATTCCCAGATTTTAAAAAATTCTACATGATACTCATACAGATGTCTGCCTTGCACAAACAATTATATACACTACAAAGGCAAAGGAGTAATCAGCAAGCATTCTGAAGGTGTCCATCTAAATGTCCCCGTCCACTCCCCAAAATTTCAATCTAACAGCAAGTCAGATAAACACTAAAGGAAGTAAAACCCTATTCGAGTTGAAAAGTGGCAATGTTAGAAGTTAACATTCATCAGGAGAATGCAGGATCATGAACAGTAATTTAGAGAGGAGAATTATTTTGCTTTTAAAAGTAAAACTTGATAAATTGGCATTGAGCCGTGTTACTGTATTTGCAGAACAAAACCTATCTTCCTCGGGCCAAGCTGCAAAGCTTTCATTTAACGATGAACAGACATCACTCACACAGATTTGGCAAGTAAACGTTACTCTAGTTTCCTACCTTACTCAGTGACATGGATTACAATCTAGAAATAGGTCGTTTCAGTTGCAGGTGTTATACAATGCAGAAAAACCAACTACTAGAGATGAAATGGGGCCACAAAAGATTACCAGAACATAAACATGTATCCCATGTAAAGTGTGAAATTACTCCTTCCCCTTTTACAAAATGTTAGTCACAAGTATCAATTGAATGCCTCAGTTCACAAACATTAGTGTTGACCTGCGTAATTGTTACAACTAAACTACTTCCACAATAAAGCTGCTGGGTTACACCAAACAAAGGACCACCAGAATGTTAAAACAAAATTGGTCAAACAAAAGCAAAATACAGGAAATGTTGAAAATTTAAAATACAGACAAAATATTGGAAACATTCAGCACGTCTGGCAACTGAACTGAAGAGTAAGAGTCATGTGATGCTGATGAGCAGAGGAGTGATAAAAGTAGTC